GTCAACCTTAGACGTACCAACTGGTGCGCTTACAGGGAAGACCTACTAAACATTCTTCCAATAGAACCCCCAAATGACAACAGTGATATACTCAGTCTTGATAACATAGTAGGGATGTTCACGAATGCCTGCAATTCGGCTTTCGAAGCAGCCCACCCTAAACGCAAACCGAGAGGAACCAGAAAGCCTCCTTGGTGGACACAGAAACTTTCAGAACTCAGATCCAGTTGCAGAACTCTTTTTAACAGGGCAAAAGCAGGAAATGAGGATCTATAATGGCAACAATACAAGTAAGAACTAGCCTCCTACAAGAAGGCCATAAGGAAAGAAAAAAGATCAGCTTGGCAGACCTTCTGCTCAAACATAGAGGAAACAGCCGATGCAGCTCGGCTTAGGAAGATCCTCTCCAAAACAACCCCCTCCTTGGGGTACCTTCAAAAACCAGATGGCTCGTGGACAGACTCTAGTAAGGAGTCCCTAAGCCTACTACTAGACACCAACTTTCCGGGTAGTCTCCCGGTAGAACGCCTCCCACAAAATTATGCAGGTCTAAGCATTGACTTGGAAACGCTTCTTTCCGAACGCAACATAAGTTGGGCCATAAACAGCTTCAAACCCTTCATCTCTCACCTGCGCACATCCAACACGCAGGTCAACTTGCCATCAACTGGCTAAAGACAATTTTCCGTACCATTCTTAGGATAGGAACGTTGCCATCAACATGGAGGGAAACAAAGGTAGTCTTTATACCCAAAGCTGGCAAAGCCTCGCACACGATGACGAAAGATTTTAGGCCCATAAGTCTGACATCCTTTCTCCTTAAGAGCTTTGAGCGACTGATTGGACTGCACATCAGGTCAGTCATGGACTCGAAACAGTTATCAGCAGCGCAGCATGCATATTCAAAAGGCAAGTCCACCGAATCAGCTCTACACGCGGTAGTCAGCCAAATCGAAAAGTCACTCAATCACAAGCAATACGCACTTGCTGCATTCCTGGACATAGAGGGCGCTTTCAACAATGTTCTCCCTACAGCCATAACCGAATCCCTCACCGACCTGGGGGTTGAGATCCAAATCGTGGAGTTAATCCATAAATTGCTGATGAGCAGAATGGTAACCTCCACGCTAGGAATCTCAACACAAACAAGGGTCGTGAACAGGGGAACCCCTCAGGGTGGTGTACTCTCCCCCCTGCTATGGAACATCGCAGTAAATAAGCTGTTGTGCTACATGGAAGGGGGTGGATGCAAGGTTGTGGCATATGCGGACGATGTAGCCATTATTTTCTCAGGAAAATTTCCTCAGACACTATGCGATCTAATGACCGCCAAACTTAAAATACTCTCTGACTGGACAACAGAAAGAGGTCTAGGGGTAAACCCCTCGAAAACGGAACTGGTGCTGTTTACAAACAGATACAAGATTCCTCAACTAAACCCACCAATATTAAATAACTGCTCTCTCTCCTTTAGTGACAACGCCAGGTATTTGGGTTAGTATTAGATAAGCATCTGACATGGAGACTAAACAGCCAAGAGAGAACGAGGAAGGCAACAATTGCCCTCTACTCCTGCAAAAAGGCCATCGGAACGAAATGGGGCATGTCCCCAAAAATCGTCAACTGGATACACACAGCGATAGTTAAGCCTATTCTGCTCTACGGAGTGTCAATATGGTGGCCCGCGCTAATGAAGCAGACAACCACAACAAACCTAAACAAGGTACAACGAATGGCATCCTTATGCATAAGCGGAGATCTTCGCACCACCCCCAACGAGGCGCTAAATGCTATTCTGAACCTTCCAAGTCTGGACTTAGCCGGCATGGAACGAGCTAAGATAGCTGCGGTTCGGATGAGGGACTTAGGGCAGTGGAAACCCCAAATATACGGTCATGCCAGGATACTCCAGCAAGACACAATGATCCCACCCAGTACAGATCTATGTAAACCTATTGAGCTGGCCAGGCATGGCACTACAGTTCCTCTCCTTCCGGACAAGGAGAACATTGGTATGCCGATGGCCACCTGCAAGCTTAACATTAGAAATCAATATAAGAAACTTGCGAGCCTAGCATGGACACATGTTAAGCACTGTCGCATCTCTCGCCAGACATGGCCAATCATCGACGCGAAGAGAACTTCGGAACTATTAAGACTAAACCGTATCGAGTGCGGAATGGTAATACGAGTGTTAACAGGCCACTGGTTGGTTGGCACACACGCAAGCAGATTGGGCGCGCCCCGAAACGATTTCTGCAGAAGCTGCAGGGACGAGGAGGAAGAGGAAACGGTGGAACACCTGTTCTGTTCCTGCCCGTCCCTGAGCAGACTGTACCACTTAGGGAATCCCTTCATGAGAAGTCTATCTGAACTGGCGAACATAAGCCTAAAACGAATAATAAAATTCATTAAAGCAACCGGATGGGAATTATGCTAAGCCAGCTGCAATAATGGCAGCAGATTTTTAAGAAAGGGGATACAGATCCGCGCGGTACCACAATGGACCTTTAAGGACTAAGTGTGTCAATGATTTGGAAGCCGCTCTAACCTAACCTAACCTAACCTAATATTATTTAATAATATGTGAAGTTTTAAGAATATATTTTTATAAACCGATTTGCATAGTCGGATATGTCTATAAATACCCTGCTTTTATGTGCAAGATGCATAGACCAAACGGGAAATGCCAAAAAACAGAACAACAACGGATTAGCGGAACCGTTGTTGTTGTTGCTTGTTGTTGACTTTTTCGTCTTTTTCACTTGCGTTTACTTATGTGAAGGAGTTAGAATTGCACGCAATTAACGTAGTTAAATAAAATAAACCAGAGGTTTAAAAGTAATACCTATACGATTCCCAGGTAAGTCTGTCGCAGACCAATATTTATTTAATCAGTGAGAGTAAAAACAAGTTAAAGTATATTAAAAAATGGAACGGAAAAAAAGTAGCTGTGAAAAATATTAATTTTTGATGTGAAAAACAACAAATGATGCATATAAATAAACAAATGAATGAATCTGTGAAAAAATTTGAAAATCTTATTGAGTGCTAAGTTCCTAGGGACCAAAAATAAGAGATGTTTGTTTTTATAACTTATGATTTTTTGTATTAATAACATTAAAGCACAATTTTTATTTTTGTGTAAGTAAACAAACATGGCTGTTTAAATAAAAATCTCAAACATCTCTAATTTTCCGTCCTTGGAAAAGTGGTATTTTTTCCGCATCTGCAAAATAAATAAATAATTTAATAAATAATAAAAAAAATACATAAATAATTTTTTACAACAAAATAAAATAAATCAAGTGACCGAAAACAAAAGTTTGCAAATTTCTTATCGATATTTTTTTCATTTTCTTATATTTTTAGACAAGGCTGATGGTAAATCTATAAAAAAATTTAAGGCTAAATCGTTCCATCTTAAGCTTATTATCCGAGGAACTTGTTCTGTCCCACAACTTGGGGGGGGGGGCAAAACAAGAAGAGGCTCAGACTACCCAAATTTCGTCCGCGCCTTATTAAGTAAGTTTTTATTGAGGCTGAAAGTAATATTGTTTGTAAGTTTAATTTTTAAAAGACTTCTGGGATTTTTACATTAAATGCCAAAGATAACATTTCTTTTATTATAAACAAATCTTACAAATAACGATTACTTTCGGTCACTCGTTTTTATTCTCGTCTTGTTTTATTTTTAAGACTAATTTTTTTCTAATACTAGATGCAATCGCCCTGGTGGATCCCTTGGAGCCTCCCGAAAAGGCGCTGCAGAAGGCAAGGCGGTGCGTTAAAAACTTGAGTTGTACCAAAAAAAAGGCAACGCCGGCACCAGATGCTGAGGAGGAGGTGCCAGCGACCCCGATTGCACCGGAAACCCCCGAGCTCAAATTTTAAAATAAACAAATAAAAATAAAAATTACAACTGAAATTTTATTTGCTGCTAAGAGCTCAACGTGTGCTGAAAGTGCGCTTTTTCGCTGCTTGAATGAGCGCTCAACGTGTGCTGAATGTGTGCTTTTTCCGCTGCTCAATCGAGCGCTCAATATGTGCTGAATGTGTGCTTTTTCCGCTGCTTAATCGAGCGCTCAACATGTGCTGAACGTGTGCTTTTTCTGCTGCTCAAAAAAGCGCTCAAAAGGGTGCTCAAAAAAGCGCTCAATGCGTGCTATTTTTTGAGCACTGATGAACCCTAGGACATGCCTATGTTAATTTAAGCACTTAGTTCCATACAAATTGTGCGCTCATTGAGCGCTCAGTGATGAGCTTTTTGCAGTGATTGAGTGCTCAATAAGCGCTGAATGGTGCTGCAGGGTACTTATGTAGATACACTGGCAAAGCACATGTTTAGGATTGCATTAATAATTGCGATCCAGTAATAAAGTTTTGCGGGTTTTTATTTAACAAGTTATACTATATACTTTTTATCGCAATGGCTTATGCAAGCCTGACCATGTGCTTTACCACCCTGCAGTACCATTCAGCGCTTATTGAGCACTCAATCACTGCAAAAAGCTCATCACTCAGCGCTCAATGAGCGCACAATTTGTATGGAGCTATGTGCTGAAATTAACATAGGCATGTCCTAGGGTTCATCAGTGCTCAAAAAATAGCACGCATTGAGCGCTTTTTTGAGCACCCTCTTGAGCGCTCGATTGAGCAGCTGAAAAAGCACACGTTCAGCACATGTTGAGCGCTCGATTGAGCAGCGGAAAAAGCACACATTCAGCACATGTTGAGCGCTCGATTGAGCAGCGGTAAAAGCACACATTCAGCACACGTTAAGCGCTCATTCAAGCAGCGAAAAAGCGCACTTTCAGCGCTTAGCAGCAAATAAAATTTCAGTTGTAATTTTTATTTTTATTTGTTTATTTTAAAATTTGAGCTCGGGGGTTTCCGGTGTTATCGGGGTCGCTGGCACCTCCTTCTCAGCATCTGGTGCCGGCGTTGCCTTTTTTTGGTACAACTCAAGTTTTTAACGCACCGCATTGCCTTCTGCAGCGCTTTTCGGGAGGCTCCGAGGGATCCACCAGGGCGATTGCATCTAGTATTAGAAAAAAAATTAGTTTTAAAAATAAAACAAGACGAGAATAAAAACGAGTGACCGAAAGTAATCGTTAGTTGTAAGATTTATTTATAATAAAAGAAATGTTATCTTTGGCATTCAATGTAAAAATCCCAGAAGTCTTTTAAAAATTAAACTTACAAACAATAGTTTTCAGCCTCAACAAAAACTTACTTAATAAGGCACGGGCGAAATTTGGGTAGTCTGAGCCTCTTCTTGTTTTGCCCCCCCTCCAAGTTGTGGGACAGAACAAGTTCCTCGGATAATATGCTTAAGATGGAACGACTTAGCCTTCCATTTTTTTATAGATTTACCATCAGCCTTGTCTAAAAATATAAAGAAAATTAAAAAAATATCGAGAAGAAATTTGCAAACTTTTGTTTTCGGTCACTTGATTTTTTTTATTTTGTTGTAAAAAATTATTTATGTATTTTTTTTATTATTTATTAAATCATTTATTTATTTTGCAGATGCGGAAAAAATACCACTTTTCCAGGGACGGAAAATTAGAGATGTTTGAGATTTTTATTTAAATAGCCATGTTTGTTTACTTACACAAAAATTAAAATTGTGCTTTAATCAAAAAATCATAAGTTATAAAAACAAACATCTCTTATTTTTGGTCCCTAGGAACTCAGCACTCAATAAGATTTTAAAATTTTTTCACAGATTTGTTTATTATATGCACCATTTGTTGCTTTTCACGTCAAAAATTAATATTTTTCACAGCTATTTTTTTCCGCCACGTGTTATTTTGGGAATCTTGTATTTCCCTTATTTTAAATATAGATTATCTTGTTTTTTACTCTCACTGTTTTCAATATTATTAGTCTGCGACAGACTTACCTGGGAATCGTTTCTTTTTCACTTTTAAGGCACTAATTTAATTTAATTTAGTAAATTGCTGGTATGTTTGCTTCAACTTCTAACTCCTAAACGCAAGTGAAAAGACGAAAAAAGGCGCGTGCCTTCCAGAAAAACAACAAGCAACAACAACAACGGTTCCGCTAAGCCGTTGTTTTTTTTGCATGTCCCGTTTGGTCTATGCATCTTGCACATAAAAGCAGGGTATTTATAGACATATTCGACTATGCAAATCGGTTTATAAAAATATATTTTTAAAACTTTACATATTATTAAATTATATTAATAAACATATAAATTTGTTTAAGAAATACAAATATTTTAAAACAGAAACCTATTATTTTAAATCGTTGTTTTAACATTTACGAACAAATGTCGCATTATTCAAAAGGCAAGGGTGCACAAAGGTCTATATATTTTAGTTGCTGGGCCTCCTTCCCTTCACGCGCACTTTTTCGTCTGAGACTTGACGAGAGAGGGAGAGCCCAAAATTACTTTTTTGTGCGTTCTCTTTGCGGACCCGACTGAGAGCGCGTCGCTTTGCCGCCGTTGCGCTCAGCTCTGCCGGCATCGCTGGCTTCTCTGCCGACGTCGCAGTCGGCTTCGTGATGATTGGGCGCTTAACTCAATTTTGGAACTGCAGGGCAGTGTATCTATATATGTACATATATACAGTGTATAACATTAATATTCGGTTTTGTTTTCAACTTCAAACGTGAACAAATGTTTTGAAACAAATAAAAACAAAAAATGTAAGGATGCAGAATTAAAGCTTATTTTATTACCTTTTCATAGATTTATATACATTAATACTTTTCTTTAAATTTAAAGAACAAACATGAATAAAAAAACCGAATAATAATTTTATACACTGTAAGCATGTACATATTTAAGACTGAAATATAATTAATTAAACATTCTTAGGTGCACAAATTCAATGTGATTAAAAAAATATTTTAACTAAGGAAGATTTAAAGAAGCCGTTCCACCTTTGGGTCCTAGGTTAAGATTTCGAGAGAAGCTGCTGCCTTGGAGAAAATCAATAGTAAGTAATTTTTTTGAATGCAGCTTGGACCAGATGGTGAATCGCAGTTGCTTCCCACAAACATAACCAAATCGCCGGTGACGCCACCAAAATTTTATTATAAGGTGCTAGGCAAAACCTTGGAGACCAATAGAGGGAAAGCTATTTTGGATCAAGGAAAAAAACAGATGTCTTTAAGCCTGGATATGAAGAACGATCTTTTAAGCATTATCCTTGAGGAGATCTTCTCAACAGGGATAACTATCAAATATTCTGATTTTAGTCTGCTGCTGGACGAAATTTGCTGTCACTTACCTGGCGAAGAAAAATGCAAGGTAAAATTTAGTTGAAGAGCTTCTAATATTGATTTTTACTGATATTTTAATCAATTTTATAGGATTACTACTTCATTTCCCGAGACGGTAAAAAAAATCCATCGGGCAAACTGTACTCCAAATACAAAAATCGAAGGTCAAGAATCAAGCTAAAGCTAGCACAAAATGAGTTGTTTGAAAAGTATGAAGATTTGGAAAACCAAACCCCCAAGGTCTCAGAATCGGATCGTGTCTCTTAACAGAGACGATGACAATTGGGACTTGGTGTGCGAGAAATGGAAGAAGACCTTCCATCTTTGCCAACAAGAGATCAAACAACTTGACAGCCAAGACTTTTTCGCAGCCTGGTAAAAATTCGCCCACGCACAGGCAACTGACTTGGTAAGTTGCTGAAAAACGGGATAAAATATATTATATGAATATATAACCATTTCATTTTTTACCTATATATTGAAATTGATTTTGAAATGATGTACCCGACGAGAAGCTCGTTTATGTTTTCGAAATGGGAGCCGTTCAAAAATAAAATTTTCAATTTCTATGACTGCAACATTTCAAACGAAGCTCGTAAAAGGTTGCTTAAACAAGCAAAATTATTTTAAAAAAATTGGTAAGTATTTTAATTTTTATAATTTGTCTTTACTAAATTAGCTATTAACTATTTTGTTTTGTTTTTATTTTTATGATTTTTCACAGATTCCCAGGATTACTTGATCAGCACTCATCTATGCGCGGTTTTACCATCAACTGCGCGCCTGTACATATATGAAAAAAACATTCAAGAATTCATAATTAAATAATTCTAGGTCTTATATAAGGCTGAAGTATGTATAACATATAGCGCTACAAAACTTATGTATGTATTATTTTCTTTTTAAGTTTACAGTATTATACTACAATAAGAATCAACAAACTCAATGAAGCGATACTTTAAAACAAGAAAATAAAACAAAAATAAAAAAAACCGCCTTTTTATTTCTGCAAACCCAATGCCTTCTTAATTGAAGAATTATAAGTTCTTATGCACAGATCTTTTTCGGCTGGATTTTGGAATTTTAAACTCTTTAATGGAGCATGATTTGTTCTTATTATAAGTCCAAGTTATGTTAAAGATAATTCATTTTAATACTTTAAGTGAGAACATACTGTTCTTAAGTGTAATATGAATACGTCATTTCTGAAGACTAAGTCAAGTTTAAAATGGGAATTATATATTTTTGATGGAAGTTGCATATCATCTTGATATAAGCATTGGCCATAGTTCATTTAAGAACATTTAAGACCTGTTTTAAGAATATATATGGCTATATTACGGCATTAGTTATCTTTAATTTTAGTACAATTCATACTTGATTTGAGAATTCTTAAACTTAATTAAAGTACAATTCATACTAAAATAAAGTTGTCTTTATACTTAAATAAAGAAGATTTCTTACTTAAATCAAGTAGAACACATTCTTAATTTCGCCCAAAAATGTTCTCAAATTGAGAATGCCGGTTTAAGAACAAAACATTCTTGAAATGAAAAAACAAGCCCATAATGTACCTGTCGAAGTTTTGTGACCATTTGGGCTTGAAAAAAGCCCAATGTGCTTGGTTTTTTCTTTGAGTGTAGGTTCTTTTGAGGATCTCTTAGTTGCACTTCGAGCTAGTCGATTAAATAGCTTCCTTTTGGGCAATTCCACGCGCTGATCTGGATAGCCTAGCAGTTTAGAAATATCCTTTTAATTGATCAGTAAGCTCCCGACTTCGTTTTTTCGCAAGGGTATTTTTTTAAGAGATCCTACCGGCTGCGTCATTTACATGAGTCGTTCTTCGCCCGAATAAAAAATCAGGAGATTTTTTTATATTTGTTGGTTATTCTTTATTATAACGTTGGAAAAAGACTAATTGTATGTTACAGAATTGGTTAAAATGAAACCTCGGGTTGCGTCTTAGAATTTAATGTTAGTGCATTAGGCGACGCAATGTTAACATAATTCGGTCTTGTTAGATTTTGCGATCTTATTGGATTTTTACTTTTATGGAACTACGTCATTGTTGCCGTTCGGTTTAATCGATTTTCTTTGTTTGTTTGCATTGCAGGATCTCTAGCTTCTGTAACATTTTTAAACAAAGCCGAAATTGACGATCCTGTTTGTTTGTGAACGGTTTCGTTCTTTGAACTGGTCACTATATATATATATGTATATATATATATATATATTTTCATTTTGTTCTTTTGTTTTGTAACTCTCTCTCAAATGGCAATAACGTTGCATTACATTAAAAGCTCCCACCATAAACAGTTCTCTGATGATGCGTAAGACCTTTAAATCAGTGTCAGAAAGTATATCTTCAAACTTCTTGCAAAATTCGTCTATTTCTTTTTTTAGTTCGTCACCCTCGCAATCAGCATCATCATCATCACCAACAATGTTAGAATTAGTCATTATTGACTATTGCTTTTTAATAAAATGTGAGTTAACAAGGGAGAACGCTATAGTCGAGTACCTCGACTAACAGATACCCGTTACTCAGGTAAGGGGACCATAGGGAAATGGAGACATGCAAGCGAGATTAAAATGCGCCACCTACCCGTGATCTCAACATATGTGGGCGGTAGACAGATTTAAGCGTTATGGGCGTTAGAGTGGGCGTGGCAAACTGTTTTTTGAATCAATCGATAGGTATTGACGAGACCAATACATTTCAGATAAAGTTTTTTATCTAGCATGAAATTTGTGGGCGCCACAGGTTTGGTCGGTTTGTGGGCGTGGCAATCTTTTTTTTGGATCAATCGATAGGTATTGACGAGATCAATACATTTCAGTTAACATGTGGGCTGTTTGTGTGCAAATTTGCGCTGCGTACAAGGCTACGGAATTTAAATCTGAGATCCCATTTCTCTATCTTTGATAGTTTCCGAGATATTTGCGTTCATATTTACGATTTTTTGAAGTTTGTGGGCGGTTTGTGGGCGTTGAAGTGGGCGTGGCAAACCTTTTTTGGGTCAGTCGATAGGTATTGATAAGAACAATACATTACAGTTATAATTTTTATTCTAGCATCAAAACTGTAGGACCCACAGTTTTGGGCGGCTTGAGGGCGTTAGAGTGGGCGTGGCAGTTTTGATGCTAGAATAAACATTCTAACTGAAATGTCCTCATCATTGTCCTCATCAATACCTATCGACTAAGTCTATTTGCCACGCCCGCTTTAATGCCCACAAACCGCCACAAACTTAAACAAATCGTAGATATGAACGCAAATATCTCAGATGCTTTAGGAGATAAAGAATTGGGGTTTCCGATTTAGATTCCGTAGCCTTGTACGCAGTGCAAGTTTGTCACGTGAAGATGCCACGCCTACTCTAACGTCCATAACGCCTAAGTCTGTGGCGCCCACAATTTTCATGCTAGAAAAAAATGTTAACTGAAATGTATTAATCTCGTCAATACCTATCGATTGATCCAAAAAAAAGTTTGCCACGCCCACTTCAACGCCCACAAACCGCCCACAAACTTCAAAAAATCGTAAATATGAACGCAAATTTCTCGGAAACTATCAAAGATAGAGAAATGGGATCTCAGATTTAAATTCCGTAGCCATAAAGCCTAAATCTGTCTATGTCTGTTATGTGGGTATAACCATATATTGAGATCGCGAGTAGGCGGCGCATTTCAATCTCGCTTTACTGCTTGCATATCTCTATTTTCCTTTGGTCCCTTTAGCTGAGTAACGGGTACCTGATAGTCGAAGTACTCGACTAATAAAATTGTTATTTTAAAAATGTTGCGAGTTTTTACTTTTTTCTGTCTAGACGCAGCAGGTATGGTTATGGTAACCTACATGGGTGCTTTCATCAACGTTATTCTCCGGTACTTGGGTAAGAATTTGGAAAGCGCTGTCTTTTTCTTCTTTGTCATCCTCATCGGGGGTTTCATAACAGTGGCTGTTGCTGCAATTGCATATACAATCAATGCAACGAACTACTGCGCCTTTCGGCGGAGGCTGAGTGTTGTTCCATCTCTTGCAACATCCTTCTTCTTGCTGTTGCTGGAGTTGTTGTTGTTGTTGATCCATTTTGTCCTCGTTCTCGTTCTCGTATTAGGGGATTGAATCGAATGAAATTCAACTTTAAACTGATTTCAAATTTGAATGCCTAGCGCTATTTATTTGCAATTGCTATCTAGGATTTTTCTGACTCGATGGTGTTTATACCCGTTACTCGTAGAGTAAAAGGGTATACTAGATTCGTCGGAAAGTATGTAACAGGCAGAAGGAAGCGTTTCCGAGCCCATAAAGTATATATATTCTTGATCAGGATCACTAGCCGAGTCGATCTAGCCATGTCCGTCTGTCCGTCTGTCCGTCTGTCTGTCCGGATGAACGCTGAGATCTCGGAAACTATGAGAGCTAGGCTATTGAGATTTGGCGTAAAGATTCCTGAGCTTCTTACGCAGCGCAAGTTTGTTTCAGTAGACTGCCACGCCCACTCTAACGCCCACAAACCGCCCAAAACTGTAACTCCTACAGTTTTGATGCTAGATAGAAAATTTTAACTGAAATGTATTGTTCTCAACAATACCTATCGATTGACCCAAAAAAAGTTTGCCACGCCCACTAAAACGCCCACAAACCGCGAAAACCTGTGACGCCCACAATTTGCATGCTAGATAAGAAATATTAACTGAAATGTATTGTTGTCGTCTATACCTATCGATTGATCCAAAAATAAATTTTCCACGCCCACTCTAACGCCCATAACGCTTAAATCTGTCTACCGCCGGTAGGTGGCGCATTTTAATCTCGCTTTGCTGCTTGCATATCTCCATTTCCCTTTGAGTAACGGGTATCTGATAGTCGAGGTACTCGACTATAGCGTTCTTCCTTGTTTTATTTTATTTTCCCACACTTTCAACAAAGTTTTGGGTGGTGTTGGTTTCATCATAATTTACTGTGTTTATGCTATGCCTATTTCATGAAATCAATTCATGAAATTCATTCATTAAATGGGCAGATTCGTGTGTGCATGAACACCTTTTCATGAATTGAGTGCCAATGCACGAAATGTTGAGGCACAGGCTACTTCACAGCCTACTACTCTATAGAGCTCTATATCAAATTCAAAAAATTTGTCAGCTTTACTAGTATAATTTCATGAATTTGTCTGTGTTGTATCGGAGAATGCATGAAATTCATAGCATAAACATAGTAATTGTTTAAGTCCCATTCAAACAAAATAACTTTTCTCTAACAGGTCTCGATGACATTGCTTG